AAGAGATTTCCCGGTCATACGCACCACATGGTCTTGTAACATAGCCTGTGCCTTCGCCTTAATTTTATCAGCCTCAGTAATAGCACCCCCAGGACCTGTTCCAATAATTTTTGAACCCCCTTCCCGCTCATCTCTAAGTTTAAAAAGTTCTAGTTTGGCGTCAGCCACTTTATTATTTGTTTCTCTAACCTTATAAATTAAATCTGGAACAATACTGGAAAGCATATTGTTCAATTCGTAATCTAAATTACGATGTTGATCCAACAAAGAATTTAGTTCATCGGTGTTTCTAGTAAAATCTCTTGAAAGCCATTCAGGAGTAGAATTTTGTAAATCAACTATTTTTCGTTGAAGTTCTTTGATCTTGAATTTGTAATCACTTATGTCAGAAGACTCACTAGAATAAGAACGATCATAAGATGTTGGAACTGAATTAGCTGAATATGACAACGCTTCTAATAAAATTTTCTTTTCATGAATATCCTTTTTTAATCTTGATAATTTTCCTGATAAATCATCCCTGTCGCCAGATTCAGATATAGAAGTTGATAAGGAAAATGATGGCGATCGATCACGAGGTACTGAAGGAACACGATGCCTCGCAGCAGAAACATAACCAACATCATCATCCTTATGTTTGTATACAACCGCATCATTGTATTCAATTGTAGGTGTACTGGTGAAACTTCTAGATTTCACATATTGAGCACCAGGTTGAGAATTTAACATCGCTTGCGTATTTACGTCTGAAGTTAGCATGCTTTTAATTAAGTCCAGACTTTCGTTTAACTCCCTTGAAGACGGTGGAATAAGTTCCGGAGGAAGTGTAGCGGGTATATCATAACCATTAAGTTTTCTATAAATCAAATGCATAGCCACTGCGAATTCATCTTGATTTAATTTTCCATTATTATTAGGATCGGATAAATTCCTTACATCAGGAAAAAAATGTTAATTCATATTTCAATTTATTTATAGAAAAAAAAAAAAAAAAAAGGAAACATAAATAAAAAATGTAATCACCATATTTGCATTAGATCACTTTGAGGTAAACCAGATTGAGAAAGAATTTCTCTCGCTTTTTCACCTAAAATGAATTATAAAAAAGATTATAAGATTCATTACGTTTTAAATATATCTATATATACATTTAAATAGACCTACCCGTTAAATACCCCAACCCTGTCGAATCCCATTGCCGGAATATTGTTCTATATTGATTCTTTTCTTCTTGTGTCACAGCCCACGGAATTTTAGCATTTCCCTGTAATCCGGCGGTGCTATATTGTTGCTGTGGATTCTGTTGCGGCATCATTCGTTGCGTAAATGGCACCATACCAGGCATTACAGATATCCCAGAGTTAGCAGGAACAGAGGAATATTGAGACACACTAGGAACCATCGACAATCCAGAAAATTGTTGCTGTAACATTTGAGGTTGAGGGACTGGACTATTACTTTGTTGTATTGGTATATGTTGTTGTGATTGTTGTAGTGGTTGTGGTGGTTGTTGTATTTGTTGTTGCTGTTGCTGTTGCTTTTGCTCGATAATTTTTATTTGGTCTATAACGCCTATTACTTCATTAAAAATGTTATCAGGTAATTTATTGGGTAACTCTTGTCCCTTTAACTTCAAACTTGTAAGATACATAGCAAGAGCAAACTCCGGGAAAGTGAGGTATTCATTTGCTGTTACATTTGAAAGCGTCCTAGATCATACGTATATGACTGAATGAGCTCACATACATGTAATGACAAGTAGAAATTCATTATATTAATAAGAACAAACCATATTTTGGCCAATGCATCAGAAGGTAATTTAGAACGCAAAAGAATTCCTCTTGCACCCTCGCCT